CCCTGAGGGTCGTCTGTCAGAGCCGCCACTCCCCCCGGTGCCTGGTTTGCTCGACCTAGCAGGAGAGCGTGGAATCTCACAGAGCAGTTCTCCGCACTATTGATGAGGGACTTTCTCCTGTGGGGGAGATGGTGGAGTCATCTGCGCTCCCAGGTGACAGGGCCACAGGGCAGAGTCTCCATGTCCCCCAGGAATGTCTGGGGGAGCTTCCAAAAAAACTAGCCCAGGTTCTACTTTCAGGGACAAACATGTGACCCTTTTCGGTTGCTCCTAAGAAGATGGGTCCAGCTCCGTGTTCTAGTGCCTCTTGAGTCCATTTTAGTCGGTGTAATTTTTCTTTAAAGTCGGATGTCAGGGTACCGTCTTTCCTGGGACTTTAAACCGCCCCCACTCTAGGCACTTGCTTTGTCTCCCCCATCCCTCCTCCGTCGGGCCCCCCCGTGACGCTGTCTCCTGTGCTGGTCCCTTCCGGGAGACGTCCTGGTCTCTCCGGCCAGCTCAGCCACTTTCTGTTTCCGACCGCACTTGTTTTCAGTCTGTCCTGTACGGACCCGTTTCTTCTTTACCTGGGCTCCCTGCTCTTTCTCCAGCTTCTCCAGCTGACAGCCGAGTTCTCCTGTCTTCGGTCACAACCCTCCCAAGACAGAGGCTGGAGGCCACCCCACGTGTCCCCCAGCACGCCCTCTGTGGTGTTTTGTTGGTTCTACCAGGTGCTGTTATCATTTGCACTCATGTTTCAACCGTCCGTGGTTTCCTTTAAATTACATGTGAGTGTTTTTATTTGTGGTGTTATTTCCCAGATAGAAGTATTTTGAGGGCTTAGCTCATATTTTATTAGGCTGCATGGTGCTCAGTGAGCAGACTGCAGATTCCATATGCCGTGTGTCTGCGTTTGTGTCTGTGCCCCCTCGGTGAGCAGGCTGATATCTGCCTTTGGAGGTCTTTTTGTTTTATTTTATTTGTTTACTTTTAGAGAGAGGGGGAGGGAGAAAGAGAGGAAGAGGAACATCGATGTGTGGTTGCTTCTTGCATGCCACCCAGTGGGGACCTGGCCTGCAGCCCACCTACTGGGGATGTGCCCTGACTGGGAATCGAACCGGCGACCCTTCGGTTCACAGACTGGTGCTCAGTCCGCTGAGCCACACCAGCCAAGGCCTGCCTTTAGAATTCTTGGCATTTTCCTAATGGTCAATGGACAGTCTTTGTGGTTATTGCACGTATGAGAGAAAAGAATGTAAATTATGCATTGGAATGATACAAAGCATAGAAAATAATGTTTTTCCATTGTTTTATTCATTTGTTTGGGGGTTTCTCGGTCTGTCATTCTGAATTAAAGTGAAGAGTTTCTCTTCTCCAGGGACGCCCGGGCTGTGGCCGTACAGCAGGAGAAGGAAAGGGCCAGAGGACCAACCAGCAAGGGGGCGCACCTGTTCTCGGGTCTGTGCTGGCGGCTCAGGGAGGAGGCCGCCTCCGTCCACTGGACAGGCCCCCTCTGTCCACAGTCCCCCCAGGCCCTCAAACCCAGCACAGAGGAGGCCGGTCTCACGAACCCTTCCCAGTGTGACTCTCCACTCCCATCAGCCCCACGCCAGCTGAGTCCCAGGCACGGGGGCAGGGGGTGGGGAGGTCAGGCCTCTTAAATGTTCTTGGTGCCGCCAGACAGAGGTTAAACCACACACCCCGTGATGCCTGGGCCCCTGGTGAGTGCTCAGTGAAGACCCCCTCCCTGCTGCCTAGGACACGAGCCGCAGCCAGCCTGTGGCCACCAGCCCCAGGAGTGACCGTGGCAGGTCTGAGACGAGTGACCCTCAGGGAAGCAGCGCAGACCCGGGCAGGTGTGGCACCAGGACCCGAACTGGTGGGCGGGTGCCTGAGGTCCCCTCCCCTGTGCCTGGCCTGGGGGTGCAGGTGGGGCTGCTCTGGGGAAGGAGGCCGGCCAGTACAGGGGCCCATCCTGCTGGGGGGTCTCTGCTCCCATCTCCAACTCACCTCCCGGCTCAAGGCCCTCATGCCCCTCTGGGACCCCCAGGGTCTCCGCACTTTTGGGTCCCCCACTCAGAACACTGTCCCACAGACCTGCAGGTTCCTGTTCCCTCCTGTACGAGCTTCTGCGCAAATGTCGCTTTCCCAGGGGCCTTCCCTGTCCCGCCCCCGCCCCCCCCCCCCCGCCGTCTGATCCCCTCCCAGGGACACATTCTTCCACGGGATCTCTGTCACCACCTGACATGCCACACACTGGCTTTGGAATGCCAGTTTTGGGGGGACAAAGCCCCCAGAATCATTCCCCAGTCTCCAGGGTCCAGGGAGGCCACATGTTAGCCCCCTGACCCCCTCCCCAGAGACACCCCGCCCTGCCCCGAAAACCGTGAGGCAGAGGCCTGCGGGGTTTCCGGCCCTTGAGTGCCTGTGTGCGTGTCTGCTCTTCGTGACTCCCCCAGACGATCGATCGAACCAAATCAAGTTACTCCTGGAGCAAAGTCTGCAGGAACCAGGCGACAGGGCCGGCCGAGGGCTGTTCACAGCCTGCCCTCCTGGGGAGTGCGGTTCTCGGAGGCGCAGTCCACCCCGGCACCCCAGCCTGTGGACACGCGACCGCAGACGGCATGCTCTGAGGGTCCTGTGTGAAGGGGGTGTGAGCCCAAGGGCAGCAGGGGGGGAATTCAGGCTGCAGGGTGCAAAGCGCTGGAAATGCCCAGGGGGCCTCAGCGTGTCCACCGTCTCCAGGGTCGGCTCACCCCACCCGGCCCTGAGGACACTGACCAGGGGAGGGGAGGGGGGTGTGGCAGCTACAGAGCCCCCCAGCTAACGAGGCACTGGCAGGGCTGGGTGGTCACCTAAGCTCCTGTGCCAGGAGGCTCGTCCTGCTCCCCGGTCCCCCGGTCCCAGGTGCAGTCGGGCGGGGCCTGACGGTCGACCTGCGCCTCAGCTGTGACCCCGGTTCCTCGGTCTCTCTCAGTGACCAGAGCAAGGTGGCCTCCCTGTACACAGACGGTGCTGTCAGCGAGGGGGCGGGAGGGAAGGACAGACGGGGAGGGAGGGAGCTCCGGCTCCAAGGACAAAACTGCCCCACTGTCCACCCCGACTCAAATGCACCGTCGCCTCCTCCTCCTGCCACTGCTCCCCAACCTCCAGCTCCAGCCCTTTCATCCATTTCCAGCCAAGTGAGGGGAGACCCCCCCTTCCCTGAACCAGCATCTGGGAGTCCAGGGCGATCAGAGACAATGGGCCCTGACGCGAGGGAGAGGAAGCTGAGGCCCTGCAGGGCAGTGGGTGCCCAGTGTGCGGGCGAGTACGGGGCTCCCACCTCGGGGCTCTCCCTCCAGAGACTGCCTGGTCCGCGGGCTGGAGAGGCGGCGTTTGGGGCGGTTCCACCGGCAGGGCCTGGGGGGGGGTCGGGGGAGGCCGGCCAGGTTCCCTTCCCTTCCTCACTCCGGCCTTGGGCTGGGTGCACGTTCACCCTCACAGAACCTCTTGGGGGCTGCCGGCCCGAGGCTGTGGGCCCAGCAAAGGCCACGATGTGGAAGTAACGCGCCCCGGGGGGGCGGGCAGCTGTCTCTGGGCTTCTGGGAGGAGTGACACACAGGCAGCCTCACCACACGCCTCCGGCCCCTCTCCCTGCCCAGAGAGTCCTAGCTCCGGCGCAGGCGTCGCCAGAGTTAAGCCGCGGGTGGGGTCCCCTTGGGTAGGGTGGGGCCCGGCCGGCTGCTGGAGCCGCGCCATGCTAGGGCCCGCTCTGGATTGGGATCAAATACCGCGCTCCTGGCTCCTCTCGTGGTCTCCGATGGTGGCCCTGCCATCCCCTCCTCCGCCCCTTCTCCCGCGGCGAAGGGGTGGGGCACAAGGTCGCCGTCAGCCGGCGCAGACGCCCAGAGGCTCCGGGGAGGTACGTGGCCTGGGCTTCTGGTCCTCCGCTCAGCCGGACAGAGGCCGCAGCAGGCCCCGGGCGGGCGGGCAGGAGCGCTGGGTGCGGCGGCCTGGCCGGGGAGCCCACAGGGACGGCGTCCGCGGCGGCGCGGCTACACTCTGCGGCCGCAGGAGCCCCGAGCGCCGACCCCGCGCGCTCCCGCCGCCCTCTCTCGGGCGTCTCCGGCTCCTCTCGGCAAACCGCGGGGGGAAGGCGCCCTCTCCGTAGCGGCCCGGAGCTGCACACGCATCGCGGGGCGCGGCCGAGGGGAGGAGGAAGGAGAAAGGGAGCGGAGTCGGCCGGGCCGGCAGTGACTCGCGGGGCTGCGGCTCCGCCAATCTGCGGACGCTGACGCGGGGGGCGGCTCCGCCGCGCTCGGATATCTGCCCGCCCGGGCGCGGGTCGCCGAGAGGCTCGTCCGCGAGGGCGCAGCGCTCTGGGGACTACCGCTGCACCTGCTGTGGATCTCGCCAGCCGCCCCGTGCGCCCCCACCCCCCGCACGCGCCTCCCCCTCCGTGCCCGCGACCCTGCGCCCTCGTTCCCCTCCAGGTCCCCGCCTCCCGGCCGCAGCGAGAGAGAGCCGAGCCCTGCCCGAAGGAGCCGCCCCTTCTTCGCCTGGCCAGCCCGGCGCCGAGCAAGGCCCACCGAGCCCCGGATCCGATTGCGCCGCACGGTCGCCGCCACCTCCAGGCCGCCGCGCCGCGGCCGGCATGAGCTGCAGCTCGGGGTCCCTGCGCGCCTGATGAGCGCGGCCGGAGACCCGAGCTGGACACTTGGTGCGCCGGGACTCACCCGACTGCGCTCCCAGCTCCGCGGACGAAGGCCACTGGGCCCCGCTGCTGAGGGCGCGGCCGCTCCGGACAGTCGAGACAGAACGGCCCCGAGATGGCCGGGCGAGCGTGCGTTTTGGCGGTGGGCTCCGTACACGTGGTGCGGGCTCGGGGACAGCCCCCGAGCTGGTAGCTGTCCGAAGCCAGATGGACCTTGACCGGAGCCGCCGCGCCGATCTCGTGCCCAGCCGATACTAGAGGGGCTCAGGCGGGCCCGCTTGAGGAGGGCGCGAGTCCCAGGCCGCGCTCCGCGCCGGCCGAGAAGATGATCCTGGTGCGCAGGTTCCGGGTGCTCATCCTGATGGTCTTTCTGGTGGCCTGCGCGCTGCACATCGTGCTGGACCTGCTGCCCAAGCTGGAGCGGCGCGCCGCCCGGCCGTCCGGGGAGCCCGGCTGCTCCTGCGCGCAGCCCGCGGCCGAGGCGGCGGCACCCGGCTGGGCCAAGGCGCGCGGCCGGCCGGGGGAGCCTCCGGCCCCCGCCTCTGCCGCCGGAGACTCCGGCTGGCCCAACAAGCACACGCTGCGCATCCTGCAGGACTTCAGCTCCGACCCCTCCTCCAACCTCACGTCCCACTCCCTGGAGAAACTGCCTCCCGCGGCCGACCCGGCGGAGGGAGCCTTGCGGCGGCAGGATCCCGGCGCCCCCAGGCCCCGCGACACCGCGCACCGGCCGCTGCTCCGAGACCTCGGTCCCCGCCGATCCGCGCCGCCCCCTGGCCCGAGTGGGGACGGCTCCCTGCTGGCCAGGCTGTTCGAGCACCCGCTGTACCAGGTCGCCGTCCCGCCGCTGACGGAGGACGACGTTCTCTTCAACGTGAACAGCGACATCAGGTTCAACCCCAAGGCGGCGGCAGAGAACCCCAACTGGTGAGTGGGGTCCAGGGCCGCTGGGGGTGGGTGCAGGCAGATCCGACCCCTAAGACAGCCGCGCGTCCTCCGACAGTGAAGACCTGCCTTGTCGTGTGCCTGGAAAGGCCCCTCTGCATCCCAGGTGCTGTGTGCCCGGCCAGCGGCCCAGCGGCCCCTGGAAGGGGGCTTTGTGTGCCCTCCGCCCTCAGGCCGACCCTTGCTCAGGGCACTGCCTTTGTCTGCAGACGGCTGTGCCTCCCGGGAACCGGGAAGGGCTGAGCCTGGGGTGCGGGCCCGGAAGGCAGGCCGGGCGCTGGGCGAGCGGAGCGGGGACAGTCCGTGCCTGCGGGGCCCTGGGCGCCGGCCTGGGAAGGGGAGTCGGGCCTTGAATGAATGAACTGGCGAGGGAGCGAGGAGTGAGGGCCAGCCCACCCCCACCCCTTCCCGGGAAGCTGCTGGCTGCCGGGTTTTCAGACACTTGGCGGACACGCCGGGGCTGTCCGTCTGGGGAGGCCCAGGGAGCTGTGGGAGCCAGTCGCCGAGCCGCTGTCCGCAGAGGGCGTGCAGGCTCCGAAGCGGCCTCGCCGGGCGCCCCCAGCCTCCGGGCCGGCTGCTCGGGGCGGGCAGCACCCTCCAGAAACACCTCTTCGAGCTGCTCTGGTTTACGCCCTTCCCCCCAGGCCCTCCTCGGCCACGAAGATCAGGAGGAGCAGGTGCTGCCGCCGGCAGTGGAACATTAACCAGCAGCGAGGCTGGAGCAAAACTCCCCGCAGCAGGCCCCCCGGGCCGGGCCAGGCCGGGAGGGGGAGGCCGGGCGTGCAAAACACCCGTAAGGACCCGTGTCCCCTGACAGCAGACCAGGCCCACAGCTGTGTGCCTGAACACCCCCAGGTGTGTGCTTGGGGGCCTCTGGGCTTTGTCTGCTGGCCAGGATCAGGGAGAAGCTCAAAGCTTAGGGATCGGAACAGGGCCCTGGCCCGAGGCTTTCCAAGGAGAAATGGCATCTAGGGCCCCCCCACGTCCACTGTGGGAGGGGGCCCAGGGCCTGAGCACCTCACGTGCCAGTGGATTAGAGCAGAGACAAGGCCACCTTTCCCTGCAGCCCCCAGAGCGGCCCCTCCGTCCAGACGTGTGTGAGGATGGCCTCGTGGGTGGCGGGCAGGTCCTGCCACCTTCCTCTCCCCGCACGCCGGCCTGTTCTCATTAGGCCCAGATTTAGCGTATTGCATCATCCCTGCCCCGGTTGCTGGGACCGAAGCAACTCGGACAGACTGGGCGTGTCTGAGACTCACAGTCAGGCCGTGGTCAGAGGTGAGCCCGTCCTCCCGCCCCGGGGAGCGCCAAGGCCGCCGGTCCCCCAGGCTGATGTCATGCTCGTCGGGCTGTTTTGGTGACCCCAGGACAGACCTGGTGGGGCCTGGCGCGGGCGCCCTGGGCCAGGCCCTGCGGTAGTTATAGCTGTCTGTGGCGGCTCCGGGGGTAAGTAGGAATTACGGGCCCTGAGGTGTGTTATTACTCGGCACAACAGCAGCCTCGGAAAAGCGCGGACGCGGCAGGGTCCCGCCGGCACAGCAGGGCCGTGGAATGGGCGCGTCCTCTGGACCCAGAGTCCATCCGTGGCGCCTGCGGCCGACCCCTCTCGCTGCCTGTCCTCTCCCTGCTGACACCAGCCACCTCGTTGCCACAGGCCCCAGGAAGGTCCCGCCGACGAGGAGTTCCTGCCCACGGGGGAGGCGGCGGTGGACAGCTACCCCAACTGGCTCAAGTTCCACATCGGCATCAACCGCTACGAGCTGTACTCCAGACGCAACCCGGCGGTGGGGGCCCTGCTGCAGGACCTGGGCGCGCAGAAGATAACGAGTGTGGGTAGGTCCTGCCGCGGGCTCCGCGGGCCCCGGAGCTGCAGGCCTCTCGGGAGGGGACAGGGCACGTCCTGCTGTCGGCACTCTGCGGAGGGGCCCGGCCCTTCCAGGCCACAGGCCCCCTGCTCCAGCGAAGGGGGGTGCCCCTGGGGGCTGCGGCCCCTCCCTCAGCCGCACCCACGGGCCCCCTGCGGCTGGGCCAGCGTCCGAGCACAGCCAAGTGCTGCTGCCGCTCCCTGTGGACGGGGAGTGACCAGGGCTCTGCTGTCCGGGGTGGAGGCCCACACGCTTAGTCGCCGGGAGGCAGCATCTCTGAGCACTTTGGGCTCCACGGAGCCGCTAGTTTCAGGACAGCGTGCCAGCGCAGTTTCTGAGTGGGGAGGTCTGGTGCCACCGTTCTCGGGCCTGCAGGCGATCCTTCGGGAAAGTCCCTGTTAGTCACTGGTGGCCCGGAGAAGCCCGGGGCGGGCTGGGCCCCAGGGGCCTGGCAGGGTGTGCCCCGCCGGCGGGGACGCCCGAGGGCGGGTCTGCACGCTGCGCACGGAGCAGGCCGCTCTGGGCACCGCGTCTTGGCGTGTGCTGAGCGGTCCCCGTTCCCGCCCCCGGGGTTCTGTCCAACTGCTGACAGAGGGCAGTCGGGTGTCACCTGTGCGACAGGCAGGTGAGTTCTCCAGAGCCAGAGCCCTTCACAGACTGGCTTTGATGTTCCCGGTCTGAGCGCACGGGCTGGGGGAAGGCAGGACGACGGCCTCTCCCAGCACGCGCTGTGCGCCCTCGTGAGAGGCAGCTGGCTGCGCCCTTCCGGGGTCCAGGCCTCTTGCTCTGCTGGGAGGCAGCCCCTGGGAGAGGTGGGGCTGGGGACGCCCTCAGCGGGGTTCCCCTTTCACTCCAAGAGCAGCCGTGGCTGTTAAAGAAAGACCCAGCGCCTTGACCAGCTCCTTCATCTGTTCAGGGGGCCTCATGGGCACTGCCTGCCTCTCAGGCCCCTCCTGGGTCGGGCGCAGTTGGGGGTGCATCCTGTCGCAGAGAGATTCTGCTGCCCCCCGACCTGAGCTCCAGGCGGGCATGGGTCGCACACGCGGACCAAGAGAAAATGCTCTGGGTGCCGTAGGATACAGTCTGGGAGCGTTCAGAGAGGAGACGGCCAAGGGGGCCCCCCGTGTGAGAAAAGGCGCTGGCCGGGCCCGGGCAACTGCAGCCTTTGCCCAGCCGCGGAGAGACCAGGGCTTCTGGGAGGTGAGCCCGCGTCTCAGTGGGTTCGGGGCAGGGCAGTGTCCGCGCTTCTCTCCGCCTCAGTGCCCCTCCTGCGAGTGGGCTCACGCCTGCTCAGGGGCACCTCATCTCGTTCTGAGCAGATGGCGAGTGCCTGTGAGCCTGTGAAACATTAACCAGCGCTCTGCAGTCTGGGCCTCCACGCCCCCCCCCGCCCCCCCACGGAGGGACGGAGGGCAAAGGCAGGGTCAGGGGCCAGAGCGCCGCCGGGCCCTGGGGCAGAGGCAGAGGGCGCCGGGCCTCCACGGCTCACGAGCAGCCTTGCCCTAACCCTGAGCACCCTCCCCTCCCATTCCCACGGGGGCCTGGCCTTGGGGTGCCCCCACCCCAGGGCTCTGGCTGGCAGTGACCGGGGCTGAGTCCCTGCCTGTCGCTGCCCTGTGGGCTGTCTGAGCGGATCTCGTTTTCCCCGCGGGTGCACCAGCTGAGCGTGTCCGAACCCTGTCTGTCCCTTGGGGCGCTGAGCCCTCCGGAGCGGAGGCTGGCCGTTGCCCGTCACTCTGCAGGCGCTGATGAGTGCTGGCGGGGGTCCCCGATGGCCTGGTGCCCCCCGGCCCTGGCAGGGCAGTGGGCCTGGGTTCTGCCAGGCAGCAGCCACCTGGATTAGCCTCTCCAGTGCTCATGGGGAGCACTGGGGGGTTGCGACCGGCCCCTGCCATCGCCAGGCTGCAAGTCTGAGATCCAAACAACCAGCCAAACCCTGACTCATCCTGCACTCACGGGGGCACACCTGAACTGGCGAGACTTCGTAAACCCTGGTTTCCACTCGGAGTGAAGTCAGCGTGTGTGGAGCCCCAGGGCTCTGCCTGGACCCGCCGGGCCGTCTGCGCTGCGTCTGCACTGCCAGCACTCGGTCACCCGAGACCGTCAGAGCCTCCAGACAGCTCTGCCCCCCAAGGCTGCGACCCGGTCCGAGGAGCGTGCACCGCGGGGCCGTGGGGGGGACCCCGGAGCAAGCAGGACCGTGAGAGCAGCGTGAGGCCGGGTCCCCGAGGGCCGGCCAGAGCTGGAAACCGACCGGGCTGGACGCTCTGACTGCCGGGTCTGCAGCTGCTCTGGGGCGAGCTCGCATCAGGGCCAAGGCCCTGTGTCCGGGGAAGTAGGAGCCCCCCACCCCACTCCGGAGCAGAGGGGCACAGCGCTCAGGTGTGCCGGCCCGGGCTGCCTGCCTGCTGAGAGCGGGAGAGGGACCGGGAGGGCCGGGCTGCGGGCAGCCCCCGAGAGGAAGCGCACTGTCCCCGGGTGTCTGCCCCTCGGCCGATGCCAGAGACAGCTTCCAGCTGGGCCCTCAGCTTAGCAGATCCTGCTGGCGGCTCTGGAGACCAGGGCCCCTAGGTGGGGGCTGCCTGCTGCCGGTGGCCCCGGCCCTGGCCTTGCGGGACCGGGTGGGCTGCACCCCTGGGGACGCCTGGGTGGATGGCAGCCCCTTACGGGAGCCCAGAGCCAACCCGAGGATGCGAGCGTTGGTGCTGCGGTTGCCCGAGCGTGAGAGGGAAGCAGAGACAAGCGTGGAAGTGCCGGTGACACACGGGGTGGCGTAAAAAGTTCTAAATTTAAAGAGCCGGAAGTCCACCCACCTTCCAGCAGCGGCTCTACGAAGAGGGAAACTGAGGCCTCCGAGAGCAGAGACTCGCCCGCAGTGGGCACGTCCCTGCTCGCGGCACAGGGTTCCGGCCTCGGCGTCTGCCGGGCGGGCGCTTTGACCTTCGAGCTGCCCCCCGTGCACCCCGACCCTGCCCGGGGGGCCGCTGCTGGAGCTCCCTCTCAGGACCGGTCCAGAAGCCCCCCCCCCCCCCCGAGCCTTCGGCCTGTTCCTGCCTCGTGCGCGGCCGGCAGGGCTGTGTGTGCAGCCAGGCTCCGGGCGGCTGCGTGGCCTTGCCGCCGCCCTGCAAGAGGCCGGAGACGCCGTCCCCTGTGTTCAGCATGGGGCCGGGCGTGCGGTGCCCCCCCCCGCCAGGGCTGCCCTGCAGGGTCGCGGCTGCAGAGAGTAGACGACGCCGTGGACGCCGCCGCGCTCGGGACGCCTTGCCAAGCACAAGCCGCACCGAGGGGGGATTTGGGCAGCCCTGCCTGGAACGCAGCCGGATCCGGACAGACCCGCGGGGGCGGGGGGTCCCTGGGCAGAGGGGCAGCCCCAGAGGACGGAGGAGCTGGAGGCCAGGACCCCCTGGCTGGGGGACAGAGGCAGGGGCAGGGGCAACCCCGGGTGCTGGGGGCTGCGTGGTGGTCCTGCCTCTGCTCCAGCCCCGGAAAGGCCACCGGGCCCCGCCCGCCCCAGGCGGCACGGGGGGGGGGGCGGCTTCGGGGGCCCGTGTCAAGGACCTGGAGAGAGAGAACTGGAAACGCCCAAAGAGCCAGACCCGGCACAGTTCCCTGGAGGGGCTGCGGGAGGCGGGGAGGGAGGGAGGGAAGCTGCGGACTCTCCTCCCCGCCCTTGGGTCCCAGGTCAAGGACAGAAGCCCTGGGGTGCCAGCCCAGGCCCCTCACCTGTTCTCTCCGTCTGCACAGACGGCCGCTGCGGCCTGGACTCCCGAGGGCGTGGGTCCCTCAGCGGCTGCGCACCGAGGGCGGGAGGCTAGGCGTCCACCCGTGCCGCTGTCCCCATTCCCCTCGAGGGCACCGAGTCCAGAACGCAAGCGCCCCCCGCCTCTCGGAAACACGGGGGTGGGGGGGCAGGCACACGGCCCCAAGGGGGCGGGCGGAGCCCTGAGGCGGTGGCGGAGCCGAGGGCGCTGGCAGCCCCGGGGTCTCCGGTGCCGATGGGCGGCAGCTGGCCTTGCTTACGCGTTCGGGCGCCCCATTAACTAGGTTGGCGCGTGCGGCGGATGGCGCTTGTCGCTGAGGGCCCTCCGTCAGGGTTAGCCAACAGCGTATCGGGGCACCGTGGGGGACATGACGTGACTTCGGGGTGACGCCCAGGGTCTGCACGGCGGGCCGGCCGATGGGAGGGGGCAGGGCGGGCACGGAGGTGCCGCGAGGCTGTGCGGCTGCCTGCCCGCGTGCTGGTGGCTGGGTGGTGGCTGTGGAGGTGGCAGGAAGGGGGCAGGTGACAGGGACACGTTCAGGGTGAGAGTGACTTCGGGGACGTGGCCGCTGGCCTGTGCCTGGCCCCTTGCCCCGGGGATGCGCCCCTCCGTCAGGTCCCTCCCCAGGGCTGAGGGTAGCTGGACCTCTGTGCCCAGGACACCAGGAGACCCGACCAGGTGCGGGCGTGCCCAGCAGCTCTGGCCCAGGGCCTGCGCCCGCTCACCTGGGGTCTGCCTCTGCCCCCACGGCACCGCTCCCGGCACCCGGGCGAGATCGCCCCTCAAGTGGGCGCCCACGGCTTCTCTGCAGGAAGGACCCTCAACTCCTCATGCCCTGCTCCCCAAGGCCCGTCGTCGGTGTCCCAGCTCCGGGGCCGGGACCCCGGCCTGACCACCCCCAGGCCCGTCCCTCAGGGGTGAGGCTCGGGCAGCTCTGCCCCGCCCCCCACCCTGGGCGCTGCCAGGGCCCCGGCAGCTGTGCCTGGTCTTGTAGGGAGACGGCAGCGGCCTCCAGAGCAGAGTTCCAGACGTCTCTGCACGCGGCCAAGGCCTGGCGGCCAGGGTGCGGGCGTCGTGGAGGACGCGAGCCCCAGATGAGAGGAGGGAAAGGCGGGGCCCCGGGCAGGGGGCGAGGAGTGCCCGCAGCTCCGCGGGAAGCCCCACACATCCCCGGGAGAGGGGGCCCCTGGCGGCGACCAGGGTGTGGGCCGCAGGGCCAGCGGTGACTCTGTCTCTCTGCCCGCCCTGCAGCCATGAAGTCGGGGGGCACGCAGCTCAAGCTCGTCATGACGTTCCAGAACTACGGGCAGGCGCTGTTCAAGCCCATGAAGTGAGTGCGGCGCCGGCGGGGGGGCGGGGCGTGGAGAGGGGTCCCTGCCGGAGCGGGGGGTGTGGACAGGGGTCCCTGCCGGCTCCGGGGGGGGGGGGGCAGGGGGGCGGCCGGCTGCAGGGCTGCTGGGAAGGCAGCTTCCGCAGGTCTTGGACACCCGCCCTGAGATCTGATTTTCAAGATGAGCCAGAAATACAGAAATACAGAAATTTTAGAAACTTTCTCTTACAAACCTATACTCTGTGCAAGTTGTTGGTAGAGTAGTGTCAACTCATTAGGTGGTAGTATTCCCCCCCTCCCCCCAGATCCTGAAGCAGGTAAGTTGGGAGGGGCAGCCGGTGACACCGGTGGGGCCCAGGGGTCCTGACCTGTGGGCGACCTGGCCGCTGAAGGGCGGCCAGGTCCGTGTTTTGAAGAGCAAATAACAAGCCCGCCAGCCCGTGAGTGCCTGGACCGCCGCGCGGGGTGCTCTAACAGCTCTGCCAGGACACGGCTCACGCGGCGCACGCTGGCCCGCTCACAGCCACAGCTCAGCAGCCTGGGTGTGCGCGTGGTGGTCGGCACGCCCGGTGCCCGGCTCCCGAGAGCAGCCGCACAGCCAGTCCCCGCTCAGCGGCCTCAGGGGCTCTGCAGCTTTCTGGGAGACGGCAGGTGGCGAAGAAAGGTGTCACCGCCGGCTAAGTGACGCACATGGGACTTAGCTCCCCGCGCGTCCCATCAGCGTGACCCAGAGACCGGGGGCAGAGTGTTGCCGGGGGCCCGCGGTGCCCCCGGTTCCTGCCAGCCCTCCTCCGGGCCTGGACAGCCCCTGGCCCACCCCCGTCTCCGTGGGTTTTCCTGCTCTGGGGCTTCACGTGAACGGAATCATGACACGCGTGTGCTCTGTGACTGCGCCTCTAGCGCGGCGGTGTGTCCTCGGGGCCGTGCACGGGGCGGCACTCGGGTGGGCCGGGCTGACCCCCCCCCCCCGAGGCGAATGCCACGCGTCCCTCCGCTGTGGGTGTGCGGGTCACCCCGGCGGAGCTCTGCCGCGAGAGTCTTGCTGTTGGGACGTTCGCCTGCCGGTTGCGGGCGGACGCATGTGTCCGTGTCTTCGGGGCAAACACCCAGGCGCACAAACTGGGGGTCGAGTAATGACCGGATCTCGCCGCTCGCGGGGCTGCCAGACTGCTGTCCGCAGCAGTTACCCCGTAATCCTGGAGGAGCCTCGCGCGCTCGCCGACACCCCTCATTACTGCCCTTTTGTTCCTCCGCCTGGGGCCGCGCCGGCGGGCGGGAAGCGGTGCCTCCTCGTGGGCTCGCCCTGCGCGTCCCTGCTGGCTGACGCCCCCGCCGCGGGCCTGCAGGTCCCCGTGGGCCCCAGGCCGGTCTTCCCAGAAGTGCTGCTCCCGGCCTTCCCCTTCCGGCAGGGGCAGGCGGGGCGGGTTTGGGGGCAGGTCGGACGACTTCCTTGTGCGTCTCAGATGCAAGGCTCTCTGCAGGTGGTGGTGTCGGTGGTGTCCTCCTCGGTCCTGAGGACGTGCGGTCAGGTTTTGTTGGTGCCTGTGACTTTGCTGGAGTATCTAAGGGTTTCTTTAAAGGTTGCATTTACTTACTTTTAGAGAGAGGGGAAGGGAAGGAGAAAGAGGGAGGAAAACTTCAATGGGGGAGACAAACTTCCATTGGTTGCCTCTCGAATGTGTCCCGACCTGGCCGGCACGAGCAACCCAGGTGCGTGCCCTCACCAGGAATCGAACTGGCGGCCTTTCGGTTGGCGGGACGACACCCAGCCCACTGAGCCACACCGGCCAGGGCAGTGTAACAGTTTTGATGTTGAAAAATACGCCTGCCCCGGGAGCAGCGGTTCAGGGGCGTGTGTGGCTGGAGTTCTGGAGTTCCCGGTGGAGTCCCCTAAGCGCCTGCGGGCCAGGCGGCCTTTCCTCGGGGCCTCTGTCCTCTGTCCACTCCCGCCCCGCGTGCTGGCCGCCCCCCGTGCGCAGAGGGCCACACGCCCCGCCCAACACGGCTCCGCTTTCCCTCCTTTTTCCCCTCTGGGGGCTGCTCTGCCGGGTGGAGCGGCCCCCCCCCCCAAAAAAAAAGCTGCTTCTTCGTGTGGGCGGCGGTGCCTGACCGTCTCCGCTCCGGACGTCACCTGCCAGGGCCGCGGACGCGGTTTCACGCTCGGAGTCTCTCGGCCTCTCGTCCCGGGCAGGCTCACCGCCGGCTGTCCGTCAGGGGGATCAGGTGCGTTTCAGTGTCAACAAGGGGTGGGGCTCAAACCAGGGCTAAGGCCAGGCTGGACGTCCGGCCGCGGCCAGGCCGCCCGGGGCGTCTTTGCTGAGACGTCAGTGGCTCCAGGGTCACTGCGCGGCCGAGGGGCCTCCGGTCTGCTGGTTCGTCCCCGCCTCCCCCCCACCCCCGCCCCGCACTGGGCGGGGCCCCACCCGAGTGCCCGGTCGGCCTCGGTCAACCGGTGCCCTGCCAGGCCGGGCGTCGTCGTGCAGACTCAGCCCCCATCCCGTGCCCAGAGCCTCCCCACGGGGCGCCCACTTCCCTTCCTTCTGCACGTAACAGACACACGTGTGTACGTGTCCCAGCGAAACCGTCTGGGAACAGGGGTTTCGAGGCCCAGGGGTCCTTCGTGGCCGAGACGCGTGCACGGTTGCCGCCCGGCGCTTCCAAACGCAGACGCTGGAGCTCCCCCCACCCCCGCCACTCCGCGTGCGCCAGGCCGCCAGGCCCAGGCAGAGGAGGGCGGGAGGGCAGGGCAGCGGGAGGCCGGGTCCTGTGGTCAGGGTGCTGGGTGCGAGGCGCCCTGGCGGCGGGTGGACAGACCCAGGCAGGAGTCAGGGTAGGACCCTGTGGGCAGCTGCCCCGGGGGGAGGGGGCGGGAAGGAGCCGGGCGGGGCCGGCGGGGTGGGGGTGGGCGGGCCTGGGAGGGGGTGTTGCGGAGGGAGCAGGAGCTGCCCCGGGGCTCACGCGCGGAAGCCCTGGGGAGAGGGAGGGTTTCCGGGCCAGCGATCTCTCTCGGTCGGGAGCATCTGCGTCCTGGCGTTCTCCCGGTAAACACTCCGCGTTTTCTCGGAGAGGTGCCCTCCCACAGCCCGGAGGCAAACAGACCGCCCAACCGCCCGCCACTGGGTGTGGAGCCAGCGGGCGCCCTGGCCAGGGGCGGACAAGGGCCCTTCTGTGTCCGCACCGGGCTTGGGCCGCCTCCAGACCCACGCCTGGCCGCCTCCTGACTTCCAGGAGCTCGGCACCTTCCCCCCGGGGCGGGCGGGGGCAGGGCCCAGCCTGGGTCCCCCCTCAGGTCAGGGTTGGCTCCAAGGACGCCGCCGGGCCCCCGGCCCCACGTGGGCTGCATCTGCCAGTGCCGGGCCCACCCGGGGCCTCCCTGCCCCTGTGCGGAAGAGAGCCAGCCCTTACGGTCTTGGTGGCCAGGGTCATCCCTCCCCCGGCCCCGCCCCGTGACCTGGGAGAGCCGGCAGGGCCGACGGCAGCTGCCGTCGTACGACCAGACGCGGAGTCTCGCCTGGCACGGAGCTGCAGTTCCGCCGGAGCCGACGGCCAGCCGGGCGGACAGAGAAGCAGGGACGCGTCAGAGGGTCCGTCCCCGGGGAGGACTCAGGCCGAGGCAGGGATGCCCTGGGGCCGGGCCTCTGCTGGGACCGAGGGGCGGCACCCGGGGCGAGGTGGGCGCAGGCTTCTCCGAGCCCTCACGGCCGCCTGGGAAGTGGCTGTCCTTGCCCCCGGTTCACAGAGTGCGTGGCGCCAGCGCCGGCCAGCCGCCTGCGAGGCCCTCTGTGGACCGGGCGGCCGTCGCACTGGCCTGGACGCTCCATGGGCTGGGGGGGCCGAGCCGGGTCTCGGCCCACTGAGGCCACCGGGCTTCCCCAGACACCCCTTCGCGCACCTCGGGCCGGGCTGGCCACGAAAGTCCGCCGGCCGCTCTGCGTGGCCCCCGAGAACTCCCTGCTCCCCAGGTGAGAGGAAGAGGGACCCAGCGACGCTGCTGCAGCCCCGGCAGGGAGACGTGCGGAGGGCAGGAGCGCAGTGAGGCCCGGAGAGTGGGCGCCGGGCCTGCCCTGCGGTGGGCAGCTGTGCTCAGGCCTCCCACCGCCCCGCCTCGGTCTCCCCGCGCCTCGCTGACCGAGGCGGCATTTCCCTGGGGGCTTCTGGAAAAGACTGTCCCCTCCGTTTAAATTCAAAGCAAGCGAGCTGTTCCCCGCCCCCCCCCCAAACCACCGCCCTGCACGGCAGTGTCCAGAGTGTGTCCCTGTGTTCTCTCTGGCTGCTGCAGCCCCTGCGGGGGGCGGGGGGCGGGGGCCGGCGCCCTACTTGTCAGGAAGGGCGGGGGGAGGTGAAAAGCCGGGGAAGAAGGTGTGGCCTTCGTCCTCCTCGGACAGAAGGAAAGTGGAAGTCGGGGCGTTTCTCCCAGGAGCGGTGTGACCGGTCTGGCGGTGTTCACGGAGCTCCTCACATGGCCCCGAGGGGGAGCCCCCCGCCAGCCGCCAGAGCCCGAGTGCCCCTCCTGCTGGGGGAAAGCACGGCAGCGACCTCGACTCTCCCCGGGTTCCCTGAAACGGGGACGTGTGCACACCTGCGTCCTGGGGCCCCGGGGGAGGCGCTCCCGTCCCCACTTCAGTGCCTTCGTCACTTCCGCGAGCGCTGCACACGCCACAGCGGGCGTTAGAGAGGCGGCAGATCTGAGGTCACAGAGCACGTCCGCCCCCCGCCCCCACCGGGTCACCGCGGCCATCACCGCAAGGACAAGTCTCAGACCTCCTGAGGGGCGCGACCTCTGAGTCGCCGTCAGACGCCTGGTTTCCGAGGATCGGGCTCCGCGGCTCTGGGAGCCTCTTCTGGGCGGGTTGTCTCCCCACGGCCGCCGGCGGCGTGGCAGGCGGAAGCCCCCTCGTGGTTGCCTGCGTGGCGGCCAGCCACCGTTCTGAAGCGCTGGCCGGGCGGTGGGGGGCAGTGCCGGTCTGGCCTCAGGGACCGAGTGCCGGCAGGGAGCCGCGTCGGCCCCGGGTGGTCACTGCGAGGCTCGAGGCATCGCAGACCTTTGGCCAAAACAGGAGCCGTGTTGCTAGGAGACCCCTGCCCCGCTGCCCCGCTGCCCCCCAGCTCCCAGGGGGTCCCCGCAGGCGACTCAGACGCCCAGGTCCTCGCGGCCCTGGTACCGGCACACGGGGGGGCCTGCACCGGCCCGTTCGCCAGCCTGTGTGAGACAGAGCGTGTCAGGGCGCCCGGGCAGCCTGGTGTGAACACAGTGCGTGTGCGTGTGTGTGCGTGTGTCTGGCTGCGTGGCGTGTGCACCTCCGTCTGCGGACGGTGCCCTCCCCCAAGGGTGCTCACGGCCTCTGTCCTGCAGGGGGGTGTGCATGAGGCCCCCCTCTCGGCCTCGGTTTTCCCACTGGCACCCGTGACCTCAGGGCACCCTGGCTCAGCGTGACCGCCCGCGCCAGGCAGAGGTGCCCCACCGGGGGCCCTCCAGGGGGAGCAGGCGCGGACGGGGACCTTGGGATCCGGCTCTTCTTCGTTTCTCCAGGTTCTGCCTCTTCCCCCTGTTCAGTCCCCTCGTCCCCAAGGCCAAGGCCACCCTTCCCTGCAGCAGTCGCTGGGCCACGGCCGCTGCTCCCAAGAACGTCGGCCTCTGGGCCTTCTCCGCCTCCTGCTGCGCAGGCTCAAGGCACTCACCCCGCCCCGAGGGGGGCAAGGAGGCCCGGGGCCGGGCCAGAGGCCGCCCGCTCGCTGGCCCCTGCCATCGGCAGGGCACCCAGGCTTCCGTGCGCTGTGCTCCTGGGGGCTGCTCCGGGAGACGCTTGTCGGCAGCCCCCTCGCCTCCCCCACCTCGTCGGGCAGGTGCAGGCTGCTCACCGTGTCCACCCCCGGCCCCAGGAGGAAGCCCACGGCCGCTTGGGCCCTGCCCTGCGCCGGCCCCCCACCCCGGGCACACCTTCTGCCCGGCACCTGGAGGGAGGGGAGGTTGCCAGGTGACCAGGTTCAGCGAGTCCAGCCTCCGGCCGGGGGCAGTGGGGTCAGTACTTTTCCGAAGTGTTTCCCCGGAATGGCTGAGTCAGCGGCAGCACCTGCTGCTCTGCAGCGTGGCCCGGGGTGGGGGGGGGCAGGCCTCCCCGCGTCGGTCCCCACGGGGTCCCTGCTGGGCAGCCGGGCCCCGAGGACAGCGGCGCGCCCCCTGCAGCAAGTTCTCATCCTCCTGAGACGGTCCTCGGGCCTGGGCTGGCGGTAGGGGCAGCCGCCCGGGGCGGAGCTGGTGGTTCGAGGGGGCCACCATCTCTCAGACGTTTGGGGGGGGGGGGGGCTGGCCCTGTTCCTTCCCTTCCGTTGCCGGCCACCCACGGCTCCCGGGTTGGCGCCACGCTCTCAGCCTCGCCCCTCACGGGGGCCTTCCTGCCGGTCCAGGCCCTTCCTCCTGCTCCTCCCCGGGGGGTGGGGGGCGGGGACCCCTCAGGGGCCCGCTGGGCCGGGGTCCACCAGCCGCACCCCAGAGCCCTGCTTGAGTGTGCTGTGAGGGTGGTGGAGATGTGCAGAAAGGGCCCCTGTGTCCTGGCCGGGGAGACCCAGGGTGAGGGGCTGGCCGGAGTGCACTCCCGCAGCCTCCTTGAGGGGCCCGGCCAGCACCCCCAGCTCGGGCTCCTCCACGCCCACCCGTGGGCGTCCGACGAAACAGAGGGATGGGGAGGCCCCTGCCGGGGTCGGCCATCAGCCCGTGCACCCTCCTCCCCGATCGGGTTGAATCGGGCCCCTGCCCCGGGAGCTCCCGGTCCGAGGGAGCCTTAACAGCAGCCACCGGTGCAGGTGGGTGGAGGGGCGCCCACACGGCCCAGAAGCCCTGGGGCCCCTCACCCCCTCAGGTGTGAGGACAGCCTGCAGGTGCACGGACAGAAAAGCATTCCACCTTGACCCTGAGCCCCGGGCCTTCCAGGGAGGGGTGTGTGGACACCAGAGCAGCAGCCGGGCCCGTGTGGCCTCAGGCTGGGACCGCGCTGCCTCTTTCTGAGAACAGCAGGGACGGGGGGAGCCTGAGGTGGCGGGTGGCAGGGAACCAGGGACTAACCTGCTGCCCGGTCACGGCGCCTGCAGGAAGTGGCTGGGCTCTTCCCAGAGCCACAGGGCTCAGAGCCACCGCGGTCCGGGTGTGTGACCTTCCCAGAGGCGGGGAGAGCAGACAGAGGCCGGGGCGCTGCCTGGCAGAGAGGCTCGCCTTTCCGCGTCACAGCCGCGGCCCTGCACGCCGGGCAGCGGGAGTCTGCCACGTGTTGAGGACAAGGGCCATGGAGGTGACGGTGGCGGTGACAATGGTGGTGACCACGGTGACGGTGGTGGTGACGATGACGATGGCGGTGGTGACAATGGGGTGTGACGAAACGACAGTGGAGAGAGCTCTCGCCGCATGGGGGTCTCTGCCCCCCCCCGCGTCTTCCCCAGCCACCCCTCGGCCCACCCTCTGCTGAGCGCCTGCTCCGAGCAGGTGCTAAGCCAGGCCCTCCTGCCCGGGCCCTGCACACGGCGACCCGGGGTGTGGAGGAGCCTGTCCGGGGCTGCTGGGGGGGGTGGCCTGGGGCCGAGACCGGCCGGGGCGCTGTGGGCACAGCACGGGGGAGGCTCGGGGGCAGGCAGGACCAGGGCGGGGGTTGCTGGGAGTCAGCGGTGGCGCAGCCGCAGGCCGAGCAAGCAGAGCGGTGCCGGGGGCGGCGGGGGGGGATGTTGACAGGGGGAGGTTTCTGACTGTGACCGTCCTGGGTTGGGGGGTGCCGGGAGCCGGTGAGAAGGGGGACCTGGCCCCGGGGTCCAGGCGGGACTGGGCTCAGCCACCAGTGCCTTTCCGCGGGAAGGTTTCCCCAGGGACGAGCCCTTCCCGTTTTGTCCAATCTCCCAGGCAGACGAGAGAGCAGGAGACGCCTCCTGACTTCTTCTACTTCTCCGACTACGAGAGGCACAACGCGGAGATCGCTGCCTTCCACCTGGACAGGTGAGCCCGCCCACCTGCCGCTCCCCACGGAGGCCGGTGGCCCCTGTGCCTAACTGTCCCTCCCCCGAGGGAGGGCTGGCCCCTGCCCCCCGAGTGGCGGCCCAGACGGATGTGCCCTGCCGTGCCCACCCCTGAAATGGCATCAGCAGGGCTGATTCGGGAGTGGCTGGGCACCCCAGGGGGGGCGGTGGCCTGCTGGGGACGAAGGGAGAGGGGAGGGGGCATCACGTACTGGGAGTCTGGCGCGGGGGTCGCACGGGTACCTTTCTCTGGGGGCTGAGGGAGGGACGAAGTTCCACAACTGACCCCTGCCGTAGGCACCTGTCTTGGGGGCACCTCTACCTGCAGAAGGAATTCCTCTCTGATCTCCACGAGGTCCCCTGCTGCTGCGGAGGAGGCCAGGTGGCCAGTGTGTGACTGGGAGGGAGGGACGGACAGTCAGCAGCCCCTGGGCTCACGTGGCTCCGCCTCCTCCACGGGCAGCTCGCATGCCTGACTCTGGGGTCCACGCTCGGGGTGTGGGGCCCAGAGCGACGATGTTGCCAGGCTGGTTGGAGCACAGAGCCCCGGGCTGACCCCGGTCCTGCAGACCAGCCAGACCACAGGCCCAGGAGGTGGGGGGCGGGGGCGCTCAGTGGGCCCCACCTCGGCCGGCCACAGGGGCACGAGGTGAAGCCTCCCTCCCGCACCCCTGTCCCGCCAGGATCCTGGACTTCCGCCGGGTCCCTCCCGTGGCCGGCAGGATGATCAACATGACCAGGGAAATCCGGGACGTCACACGGGACAAGAAGTTGTGGAGAACCTTCTTCATCTCTCCAGGTGAACGCTCCTGGGGGCGCCCGCCGCCGCTCCCTCCGCGCCCGGCTTGCTGCTCACAGGAGCCAGGAGCTCGGTTCCCTTGCCCAGCTACGGAGACACTGCGGAGCGCCGGTCTCCGGTAGCCGCCTGCGCGCGCGCGCTCCCCCGCCTGTGCGCGCGCTCCCGCCGCCTGCGCGCGCGCTCCTGCCTCAAGGGGCCGCCACGCCCGCGGTGCGCGCCTGTTCGGCCTGTCCCTGGGTGGGCGCAGGGCTTGTTTCTACCATTTGCTTGTTTTCAAAGGCAAAAGGAAATCATTTTGGGAAACCGCCCAGCTCCCCGGGATCTTCTCCAGGTGGCCCAGCCAGGGAGACCGCTGGTCTCCAAACTTTCCCCCGGAGACTGTGCTGTCCCTGGTGCCGACCACCTGGGGTCTGGCCCGGGCCACGCCCCCGGGACCGCTCAGCTGGGCTGCCTGGGCGCTTGGCCGCGCCCGTCCGCTTTCTGGTGCAGTTTTTATGGCCACGTTTCCAGTGACGTATTTCAGAGCTTCGAAAATTAAGATCACACCAGGCTCCCCTGCGCCCACCACCCGGTTGGCGTCCTCCTCCGTCAGACGCGCGTCCCTGCCTTGTTTCCAGGGCTGTCTCCATGGAGACGCCCGAAAGGCAGTCTCAGGGTCGGCAGAGAGGGGCCGGCGCCCGCTACCGCCGAGAACGTGCCGTGGGTGTGGCCCCTCGGGCTGGACCGTGGGGTCCAGGGTGCTCGGCTCCCACGTTCCTGCACCGCCCAGGCTCCCGAGGTTCCTCGAGCACGCCAGTGCAGTGCTTCCCCGGAGCACACGCACCCACCCCGGCGGGAGATGCACGAGCAAGCGGGCCCTGCCAGGCCGGGTCCGCCCGAGGCAGCGGCCAGGGCCTCGCAGCACAGCGGCGGACCGTGGCACCCAGCAGGTCCGGCAGCAAGCGTGTGTGCTTTCTAAATTACTCTTTCTTTTAGACTGAGACACAGCTCATGTGTCGTAAAGGTGGCCATGTTGAACTGCACCGTTCAGTGGTTTTAGAACAGTTTGAGATGTGGTACAACATCACCACTACCTAATTCCAGAACATTCCCCCCGCCCCAAAGAGCCCTGTCCCTGTTGGCTGTCACCCCCCTTGTCCCCTCCCCCAGCCCCGGGCACCCGCCAGTGTCCCTGTCCGGGTGTGCCTGCTCTGGGCCCTGCGCGTGAGAACAGTCACAGACGCGTGGTTTTCGGGCCCGACCGAGCTCCGAGCTCCTCCTCCCAGGGCGGAGCAGCGTCCGAGTCTGGTGGGTCCGCGCACCGCCTGACAGCCGCGGGTGGGTCCGCCGCCCTGCGCTGGAGGGGGGGTCAAGCTGCCGTGGGCGCCAGGTGCCTGCCGTGGGCCTACCTGCAGTGACTCTGTGTCTCACTCTGAGGACGCTCGCCCGTTTCCAGAGTGGCCGCCCGCGTCACCCTCCCACCAGCACTGCGCCGGCGCCGGTTCCTCTGCGTCCTCGGCAACACTCGCCCTGCCGGTTCTTTAGGTCCGAGCCGCCCCAGTGGGCGGGGGGGCATCTCACTGCCGACCGGCTGGCGTGCATTTCTCTGGCAAGCAGAGAGGCTGGGCGTCTTTTCACACCCTTGCCGGCCTTTCGAGGGTCTTCTTTGGAGAAATGGTCGTCGAACTCCTTCGCCCACTGGTGGACGGGCCACTTTTCTTTCTCATGTCGAGTTGCCAGAGCTGTTTGCACGGGGAAAGGCCGGGTCCTGATCAGGCGACGCTGTGCAGACTTTGCTCCCCGTCGGGGGCTGTCTCCTCACTCTCCTCGCAGCACAAACGCCTTTTCCAGCCGTCGGCACGGGCTCTGGGGCTCCCGCAGACTCGGGCCCTTAACCCGGAGGGCGAGCGGGGAGCTCCTGGTCCCGACCCTCCCGCACACTCGTGCCCCCTTCCTCGGCCGGCCGCCCTCCTGGCGCCAGCTTCCTGCAGCGTGGGGGCGGGGCGGGCCGCTGAGGCGGAAGGGGAGAGCTGGGGGAGCCTCCCCGGAGGACCGGGCCTGGCCCGGGGCGGTCACTGCAGGCGGGGCCGGCGGGGCCGTGGCTCCAGGGCCCTCCGACAGCGCGCCCCTCGCCCGCAGCCAACAACGTCTGCTTCTACGGGGAGTGCTCCTACTACTGCTCCACCGAGCACGCCCTGTGCGGGCGGCCCGACCAGATCGAGGGCTCGCTGGCCGCCTTCCTGCCGGACCTGTCCCTGGCCAAGAGGAAGACGTGGCGGAACCCTTGGCGACGCTCCTACCACAAGCGCAAGAAGGCAGAGTGAGTGTGGGCCGCCGAGGCCGCGGCGGCCGGTTCCGGCTTTCCCGGGGTCTCGGGAGGGCCTGCTTCTGCCCCCTCGCAGCGGGAAGGAGGGGCCGCAGGGGTGTGGGCCTTGTCCACAGGAATATGTGTGTGTGCGTGAGGGCCACCCCGTGATCGCACGGTCCGGCGGGCGCCCTCACTCCGAGAGCTGGACGTGGCCCCAAGGGGTGACCCCTGCCTGCTGGCCTCTGTGTCCACACATGGCGTCCACCCCTCCCGCCCTTCTGGTCCCTCGTGTCCCCCAACGGTGGCCCTCCAAACACCGGGCACCCTGGGCCGACGGTATCCTCCAGCTGTGGCCACTCTAGGGCAGAGCGGAGTGGCTGCCTCGCCCCTGTGAGTGGCGGCAGCAGCCGGCCAGGGCATGTCCGCCTGCTGACCTGTCGTTTCACAGTGGCGCCCGCTCCCCACACCCCGCCCTTCGCGTGAGGCGGCCGCCGCCCCAGCGGGGGGTCGGGCCTCCCCCGCTGCCCCGGGAGGGCCGGCCTCTCACACGGGCCCCCTGCAGGTGGGAGGTGGACCCCGACTACTGCAAGGAGGTGAAGCGGACGCCCCCCTACGACAGCAGCCACCGCATCCTGGACGTCATGGACATGACCATTTTCGACTTCCTCATGGGTACATCCGGCTGGCCCCTGCAGCCGCGGTGGGGAGAGGGGCCCGTTCCCCGCCCAGTCCCCGCTCTCACTCCGCGATCAGGACTCGGCGGGGCGGGGGGTGGGGTAGACGCGAGGAGGGAGGGAAGCCTCTGGAGCCGCGTGCGGCTTGAGCTGTGGCGGGTGTGCGTCTTCCCCAGGAAACATGGACCGCCACCACTACGAGACCTTCGAGAAGTTCGGGAACGAGACGTTCATCATCCACCTGGACAACGGAAGGGGGTGAGCCGCCGCCGCCGCCCCGCCCCGCCCCGCCCCGCCCCGCCCCCACCTCCCCGGAGTCCAGCCTAGACGGGAGGCGGGGTCTCCCCCAAGGCCCACTCTGTGCCCCTCGGGCCCCGAAAGCAGGGAGGGTCTGCAACAGTTTCCCGCCTAATCCTCGCAGCAACCGTGAGAGCTGGGCCTTGCTGCGCCCCCGAGTGGCTGCGGGGACACTGGGGCCGAGAGAGGCCGCTGGCCAAGGAGCGGGCAGGGGCGTCTACCCCACGAGCCGGCATCCGGGACGGGCACACGGGGACAAACGGCCCCCCTGCCCGGGTCACGCGGGAGAGTCGTCCATTCCTAGGGGGTCGGGGAGGGCGTGTGCGGGCAGGGGACCCCGTTCGGACGGTCAGAGCTGCGAGGGCTCCGGGCCTCAGAGAAGCCGGCTCCGGGCGCCTGGGCGGTTCACGTGTGGGGGCACGCGGTCCCAGCTGTCAGAGGTGCCGCCACGCTGACCCGGCCGACGGGCCTCACGCCGTCTCCTGGGGCTGCCCGACGCCTCGGGGATGAGCTTCTGCTCCGCCCAGTGGCCAGAGCGCCCCAGTCCCTGTGTTGGGCTCCCAGGAGATGCCCCCAACGCCCGCCCCATGCTCCTGTCCCCGAAGGGGCCTGGGCTGCCGCCCTGCGCACCGGCCCTCCCCACAGGCCTGCTCTCCCGCCCGCAGGTTCGGGAAGTACTCCCACGACGAGCTCTCCATCCTGGTGCCTCTCCAGCAGTGCTGCAGGTACCGCCCCCGCCCCGCCCCCTGCTGCAGGTACCGCCCCCGCCCGCAGGGAGCCCCGCCCCCGGCTGCAGGTACCGCCCCCCCGCAGGGAGCCCCGCCCCCGCCCCGCCCCCGGCTGCAGGTACCGCCCCCCCGCAGGGAGCCCCGCCCCCGGCTGCAGGAGCCCCGTGGCCCCAGCCACACACCAGGCCGAGCCGCCCTGCGCCACCCCGCCCCCCGCCCCGTGCCAGAATCGAGAAGGAAGGCGTCCGAGCCCCAGATGCGACCCACAGCCCCTCCCGCCGCCCAGTGGCATGCCCAGCGGCAACCCGGCCGTCCCCCGACGCTTGTCCACCCAAGCTCAGGGCTCAGCTTCTCGTCACCCTAAGGGCCCATCGTGCAGACTCTGAGCCTCTCCGCACCCCTCTATGGGACGCCCCACCCCACCTTCCCCCCTCCAGTTGGGGGGGCAGGCTGTGGGCAGACCACCTGCACTGGGCTAGGGGAGCACCTCACCGTGCACCCTGCTCCGAGCTCCCGGCTGGGGACTGCGCCCCAGAAGCAGGCTACCCCTCTCTCCCCAGAGTCTGCCTGGGGTGGCGGTGCCTGCCGGGCCTCCCGGGCGCCACTGGCCTCCAGGTGGGGCCCACTGGGGTCGACGAGGCGCTGGCCCTCCGCGTGCCACGGCCCCCACCCGCAGCCGGTCAGCGCCGTCTCCGTGCCCCGCAGGATCAGGAAGTCCACCTACCTGCGGCTGCAGCTGCTGGCCAAGGAGGAGTACAAGCTGAGCCTGCTGATGGCCGAGTCCCTGCGCCAGGACCGCGTGGCCCCCGTGCTGTTCCAGCCGCACCTGGAGGCCCTGGACCGGCGCCTGCGCCTCGTGCTGCAGGCCGTCGGGGACTGTGTGGGGAGGGACGGGCTGCGCCACGTGGTGGACGACGACCTGGACCCCGGGCACAGAGGCTCCGCCGACAGGTAGTGACCGCAGCCGTCGGCCGGCGCCGAGGACGGACACGAGCGACCGCGCCGCGCACTCGCCAGCCCACAGGGCCACTCCTGGACCCGGGAGCCTCGGACGGGCGCCCCCCGGCAGTGGGCCCCACAGCACACGCTCCGTCCGTCTCCCCGGCCAGAGCGCGTCGGGGACGGGGCCCCGCGGACAGCAGCCGCTCGCCCTTCCGCACGGACGGGAACCTCGTTCACTGCTCTCTATTTATGCACAGGTCGCACGTGTGTGAATAGAGAGGGCTGCATAGACCCCAGGTCCACACCGAGGGGGCCTGCTCCTGGGCCACGTGCCCCGCGAAGGGCCCGCAGGCTCCTGGCCGAACTGAGAATAAAAGCCCTTTCCCCTCCCTCCCTGGCCACACTTGGAGGGCCCCCTCCGAGACCACGGCCCTGGTGGCCGGCACGGACTTGCGTGGACAGACAAGCGTCTGTTTTAAAGTGACAAAAACGGCCAGTTACTCCGTTTCTCGGCGCCGCCCACGAGTACCTGGGACCCTCCCGGGGGGCAGCTGAGGCCGAAGCTCATCTTCTGACTCTGCTTTGGAGACTCGGCGATGGCGCGTCCCTCCGACGGGGCCCTCCAGGCGCCCCTGGCGCGCTTCTCCGGAGTAGTCTGCAATGTGATGGAAGTGCAATAAAGAGACAGCCAGTGCGTGTTGGGGCCTCCATGGGGCCCACCCCGCCTGCCCCCCAGGTGAGCGAGCGCTGGCGACGGGCACGGCCGAGGCCCCAGCTCTCGCAGTGTCCACGCTGGCCAGGCACCTGGGCTGGAAGGAGGGGCCCGGAGCAACACTGAGCTCTCCGGGGGGAGAGCGCGCAGGGCAGGGCAGGGCGGCCGGGCACCACCCGTCCCACTCCTGAGGGAGCAGCTCTGAGAGGCAGGTGGAGACTGCCCCTCGAGCAGGCCGAGGGCGGCACCGGGTGGGCGCACCATGGTCACCCAGGGGAGCCGGGACAGCGGTGGCTGCAGGAAGAGGAGCCTAAGAGATCCAGCCCCCCAACCGAAGGCTCCCCTCGCCTGCTGGCCACGGGCCGTGAGGCAGCCTCGGTGAGCCCCGCCTGGGAAGGTCCGGGCTCTGTCCAAGCCGCCAGAGCATCTCCTGAGAGCACACACGGGCGCCGTGAGCCTCGGTGCTCACAGAGCTCGAGAGACCCGGGAGCCGCGTCTGGGAACCAGCCTCCCGGCCTCTCACTGGGCGTGTCCTCCCCCCGGCGTGGCCCAGTACCTGTCCACCGGTGTCCCTGGTCCCTGGAGCTGGGCTGAGAAGTCAGTGTTTCCCTCACCTGACAGATGGGGAAACTGAGGCTCGGGAGGCTCCCTCTGTGCAAAGGTCAGTTTGGGCTCCAGGAATGGCAGAGCCTGGGCCCCGGGCCCCCGGACACACTGGGGCCGAGCTCAAGTCCGGCAGGCTCTCCCACACAGACGAGCCGAGTGCCAGGCCTCGGACGTGACATTGGGGCGGCCCCCAGACACCTGTCCCCACCCCAACTCCTGCCCAGCATGCTTGTGGCCCCACGGCCTCCGCGTGGGCGCCCCATCCGCCAGTCGCAGCCGTGGGGTGTGATGCCCGCCCACCTGGTGCAGGGCCCACAGCTTCCCGGGCACCCTCCCTCCTGCCTCAGGGCTGCCCCGCCCCCGCCAGGGCTCTGCTGCCGGGACCCTGTCCCATCCTGCCGTTTTACGCCGTCTGACCCAGGCTCTGGCGGGTGGGTGGGCTTCCTGAGTTCTGCGTGGAGAGAGTGGCATTTGGGGCCCACGTGTGCCTGACGGCTGGATGGCCGGGGTCCCGCCGGAGCACCCGGTGCACCCAGCCTCTGGTGCTGGCCCACGTATCGGTGTGGAGCGGAGACGGGGGAGGGTGTGTGGGCCCAGGGCTGAGGGAGTCGACCGAGAGGAAGAAAATGGCTTTTCCACCAGAGCTGAGCCGCCTGCCTTGTCGGCATCTGGGGCAGCATTTGCCAGAGGGTCCAGGAGAACCCATGGGCGAGAATCCAAACACTATTTAAAAAATAAAACAGAGAAAAATCCAGACCAATCCCCTCCCTGGTCGGCCTGGGACCTCACTTGGGAGGAGCAAGAGGCCAGCAGACGGTGGGGGGGCGGGGGGCCTCTGAGGGCAGAAGCCACTCCTGGGGTCGGAGCGAGTGAATGGGCAGGTACCTGGAGGTGTGCACGGGGCCCACCGTGGGCTCGGGGATGCATCCCACCCCCCGTGCCCGTCCAGAGGTCTGACACAGGCGAGGACCGGGGCCACCTGCCGTGGCCTGAAGGGGACAGTGCCTTGTGGACAGGGGCACTGCTGGGCCCCCCCGCTGGCCCCCAAGTGCGCTCACCTCAGCCTGTCCCCCCACCGCTGCCCAGCCACCATGGGTCAGTCCCCCACCCAAAGGGGCCCGGTGGCCTTTGCTGTGGGCGGCGGGGGGGGGGGGGTGCCTGGTTCTCGGTGGGGGAAGGTGGACCTCAGACCTGTCCGCGTAGCAGAAGCACAAAGCCCCCCTGTGTGTGCCGGGGGCCGGAAGGGCCTTGCTCATCCTACTCGGAGGTGGCGTCTGGGAGGAAGGGGTTTGTGGGCCAGGAGGGCCGCCGGCCTGGGGCCCGGGCCTTCTGGGAGCTGGGCACAGGGCCCGCCCCGACTGGAGGAGGGCAATCGCCCCTGGCCTCGTGGCTTTCATGGGGTAAGCGGGGAGAGGAAGCGGGGGGGCGGGGCCCTTGGGGCTGACGGCCCAGAGCTGGGTCGGGCGGTGTGGGGTCAGGTGGTGAGGGGTGCACACTAGAGCCCCGGCCCAGGTCAGTGTCTTCTCCAACTGCACTGGTGGGAGGTGCCCACAAGCCCCTCGCTCTTGGCTGGAGGGACATGGCTAGGCGCAGTCCCACTGCGCCATCTGGAGGACAGCCTGAGAACGGCAGGGCAGAGAACCAGTGCTGGCGGGGGTCCCCCTGCTCCTGAGGATCAGCTGCCAGGAAGGAAGCCCTAGTCCGAATGACACAGAGACCCCTGCTGCCGGGCAGGTGGGGCCCCAGCCAGGCAGGCCCCTGCCAGCCATCCGAGCCCCGAGCAGGCCAGCCTGTCTGGTCAGCGTCTGGCTCATGCGGCCGGCCCAGGCCGGACCGGAAGCCCCAGGCATCCCACTCTCCACTGTCCTGCCAGGACCTGGCACAACAGTAAACATCTACAGACTCGCTCTTCAACCAGAAGTCTGCAATTCATCTGGAAGTCGATGGGAGCTACGGAAGCACTCTGGGCCTCCAGAAGCTTCAAGAAGCACAGCCTCCAGCCCAGAGCCCTCCGCCCCAGGCCAGGGGCACGGCGCTGACCCCGGTTCTGAGTGCAGCTCCCACATCCCCCGGGAGGGGGCTTGTCTGGTCCTCGCCTTTGCAGGTCCTCTCTCAGGCCGTCCTGCATGGTCCGGGCTGTGCGTTTCCGGAACAACGTGGCCACTGTGGCTCCCCCAGGAGGCTGGAGCCAGGCGCACCTGCCACACAGCCCCCCACACCCCAGGTCCTCTCTGCACGTGGCTGGGGAGCAGGTCTGCACAGCTGGCCCCGAGGACCTCTGCTGCTTGTCTCTCACTGCTGAGCGTGGCAGGTTCCACGCCCCCACCCCCTCCAGCCCGGTCCCCTCCAGCCCGGCCTCCACCCCCACCAACACTGGGCCCCCACCAGCACTGGGCCCTGGCACGGGCCCCCCAGCCACACCCAGCTCTCCTTCCGCGTCCTGGTGTGGGCACTTCCGACCCTCCCTGTGCCCCGTGCCCCACGCTGCTGGAGCCGAGGGTGTGCCTTCCCTGGGGGGCCGCAGCCCCCAGGCAGAGCCCTGAGGTCCCTCCTCCTGGTACTCACACCCCTGTGAGCCTCGCACCTGTGCCCTGGCTGTGCTGGGAGGCCACAGGCTCCCAGTGGCGCGTCACTGTCAGAGCCCGGTTCTGAGGTCCCAGGCCCCGCCCATCTCCACTCTGGTGTCGGGAGTCATGTGTGACATCCATCGGCGGTACCGATTCTCGGCCCTGAACTTGGACTTCCAGCGGCCCTGGTGCCGAGGGCAGCACCGCACTCGTGAGATCGTCCGAGAAGCTGGTATTTGTGAAAACACCATGGGACATCACTGCCTCCGTTTGCTGCCGGTGCTGCCATTGTTGGTGGTATTTTAAGGAAATTTGTGGCTAAAGACTAGAGAAGGCTTTCTTTCCATTGCCAGGCCCCAAATTAATTAATAAATTATTTTTTAGGAGTAAGCCCTGGCTGGTGTGGATTGAGCACTGAACTGTGAACCAAAGGGTTGCCAGTTCAATTCCCCGTCAGGGCACACGCTGGGTTGCTGTCAGGGTCCCCAGTAGGGGGCGCAAGAGGCAACCACACATGGATGTTTCTCTCCCTTTCTCCCTTCCCCTCTCTCTAAAAATAAATTAAATCTTAAAAAAAAATAAAAAGAAGTAATTGTTCAGAACTCAAAGAAACCGAAATTCATTAGAAAGATTTCCTAACCTATCAGCCTAGGCTTTCTATTCAATTAAACAAGTGAATGGTTTGGCTATTTCTCCACCATGGTGGGGGGGGGGGGTCCTGCACATCCAGAGGGGGCCGTGGGAAGAGCTGCTGGGCCAACCCCCCACTTCTGCCTCCCGGGGTCTCCAGCCTCCCACTGGCCACGGGCTGCAGGTAAGCCAGGCTCGGACGCACTGCCTGGGGTGGCGTTTCCGAGCAGTGGGGTTTCTTGCCCTGCACCCTCAGCTCTGGCCTTGCTGCCGACGGTGCCCGTGCTCTGTGCGCGGCGCCTGGCTGCTCACCGCAGAGCTGCGTGCTGGTGAGCGGGCGGTAGGTTACGCCACGAAGCCTGTGGCGGTGGGTTACCAGGCTATCGAAGATGTTCCAGGAATCAGTGTGGATTCGCACATCATTTTGTTTCACGAGAGGTACACCGTCTTCATAAAAATTAAAGCTCCAGCCCTGGCTGGCGTAGCTCAGTGGATTGAGCTCGGGCTGGGAACTAAAGTGTCCCAGGTTCGATTCCCAGCCAGGGTACATTCCTGGGTTGCAGGCCATAACCCCCAGCAACCGCACATTGATGTCTGTCTGTCTGTCTGTCTGTCTTTCTCTCTCCCTCCCCCCCTTCCCTCTCTAAAAATAAATAAATAAAATCTTAAAAAAAAAAAATTAAAGCTCTGAGGCTGTTCTCTCCCCAGAGGTCACCCGTGTTGCCACGCCAGGGCAGCTTCTTCCAGGTCTTTGTTAAGGGGGGCCGAGGTCTGCGTGACACCCCGCCCCTGCCAGGTACCAGCTGCGTGCCGCTCACCGGCGGCGGTCGGCGGTCGGGTGGGTTCGTGCACGTGGAGAACCCTGAGCCGCGCTGGCCCTGGAGACCGCCGGAGAACGTGCCGGAGGAGCGGGAGCATTTTCACGCACGGAGGGGCCCCCGGGCTTGGCTTCGGCTTCCCGAGAGCGCGGCCGGCTGCGGGTTCGCTCAGCGGGTCGCTCTGCGACCGTCCTCTGTGGCGGCTCCTGTCGTTGCTGGCCGCAGATGAACCGTGCTTCCGTGTGGGTGGGTTTGGAAGCAGCCGGAAGGTGACCCAGCAGCCGCCCAGGCCCCAGGTGCAGGTACGACGGGGGGGTCCCAGGGATCCACTGGGACGGGTGACAGGTCAGGCCCTGCAGAAGCTGGGGCACGAGCCGCCTGCGCCCCCAAACAGGCGCCAGCAGAACCGGCCGCCTCCCGGGACGAGTCCGCCGCCTTCCCACTGGGAGCTGGATTGTGCCCGCGGTGTGTGGGGGGCGGGGTCACGAAGCGCCTCCAGCGGCTTGGGGCTGTTCCCACCCGAACAAAGCAGAGCAGCCTGTGGCCGGCTGGAGGGAGGCTCCGCCTCCGCGTCACGCCATTTTGGCTTCAGGGTTCCCCATCAGCCCTGGGTTTGGGGAGCACGTGCTGTTGAGTCAGGGCAGGTGTCAAACCTGGGCCCGGAGGGCCAGCAGCTGCAGGAGGCAGGCCCAGACCCCTGTCCCCTGACCCCTGTCCCCGGGGGCCAGAGTGCACCCTCGCCGAGGGAAGACAGTCTGCACACTCGGATGCAGGGGCCCCGGAGCAGTGGTCCCGCAGAGAGAGGGCTGTGCCGGGCAGGGAGGACAAACTCCCCTCCCGGCAGGTTCGGTCTGGGTCAGCCCCGGAGGCTGGAGTGAAGTCGTGGCCTCACCTCCCACAGGGCTGAGCGGTTAAGCCGCAGCAGGGGGTCACTGACCACGCAGGCTGGGACAGGGGACGGGCCCAGAGCTCTGCCAGGCCCTTGCCCCCTCATCCCCCTTGGCTGCTGCCTGCCCGTGGGGCCCCCAGGAGGACAAGCCCAGGACCGGGCCTCCTGGAGGTTAGGACAGAGAGGGAGGAGGGGATGGGGGCTGGCGGGCAAGTGGGTGTGGGCAACACGGTTCAGCAGAGCAAGCCCCACGGGGTGGGGGAGGGGCGGGGAGGGGCTCGTCCCTGCGGTGCTGACGGGTGACTCAGCACCCAAGCCGCCCCATTCAGTCAGTGCGTCCCCGTGGCGTCGGCGGCTTTGGGATGCAGCTCCCGTAGCCACAGCACAAAGGGTTCTGGGGGCCTCCAGAGCCCTTCCAGGCTTTTAATTAAAGTCTTCATTTTGGGGTCTTTGCAGATTCCACGCAGTTGTAAGAAATAAAGACCAGAGGTCCCATGCACCCTGTCCCCAGCTTCTGCAGCGACAACATCGTGGGAACCCTAGTGCAGGCCGGGACCGGGACCAGGGCCGGGACCGGAACCAGGACCGGGACCGGGACCAGGACATCGATGCTCTCAAGACACGGACCCTTTCAGAGCCCCTCGGGCCACCTGCTGCAGCCAGGACCACATCCCTGCGGCGGCCCCCACCTCCTCCAACCCCTGGCAGCCACGAGCCTGCTCTCCGTGTGGTCATTTTGTCATTTCAGGGAGGTCATTTACTTGGCACCACATGTATGCGACCCTCTGAGACCAGCGCGGTTCACCCAGTCGGACAGTCACCCAGTGCACCGCTCTCCGCAGCTGGGTCCTT